GCGGAGGAACAGGTGGAGGGAGAGGTAGAGATATATAGCAGATAGTAAGATTTTTCTAGCCAAAGTACACAGTTAACTCCTACATGAGTAACTAATTCCCTCTAGCCTGAATCTTTGTTGTGTGAATTTGAATAATCCACTTTTATTTTTGTGACATTAAATGTGAATATTGAATAGACAGGTAAGGTCCTTTTGAGTTCTAAAATTGTGCATCTAAATGCTAAGAGTCTAGTTTCTGAAATTATTTATTCACATACATATATATTTTATAAACAAACAAATAAATAAATAAATAAATGTAATTTGGGCAGCTGTATATGGCACATACCCATCATGCATCCATAGTATTTTCACTGCCCTATAAATCCTCCTTGTTGTGCCTTTTCACCTCTCCTCACAACACCTACTTGACTTTTTATTGTCTCCATAGTTTTGCCTTTTCCAGAATGTAATTCCATACAGTTGGAATCACACTGTATGTAACTTTTTCAGATGGGCTTATTTCACTTGGTAATATGTATTCAAAGTTCCTCCATATCTTTTTAGGGCTACAATGGCTCTTTTTTTGTAAGTGCTAAATAATAGTTCATCCTGGATGTACCACAGTTTATCTGTTCACCTAGTGTAGGACATCCTGGTTGTTTCCAAGTCTTGGCAATTATAAATAAAGCTGCTATAAACATCCACGTGCAGGCTTTTGTGTGGACAGAAGCCTTCATCTTCTTTGGGTCAATGCCAAGGGGCATGATTACTGGATCATATGGTAAGAGTATGCTTAGTTTTGTAGCAAATGCCAAACTATTTTCCAGAGTGGCTCTACCATTTTGGATTCCCATCTGAAATGAATGAAAGTTCCTGTAGCTCCACATTCTTCCCAGCATTTGGTGTTTCTGGATTTTGGCCATTCTAATAAATGTTTAATAATATCTTATTATTGTTTTAACTTGCATTTCCTTGATGACAAATTATGTAGAGCATCTTTTCGTATGCTTATTTGCCATCTTTATATATTCTTGGTGAGGTGTCCAGGTCTTTGGCCTATTTTTCATCATCACTATTTTTTTAAAAGAGATTTAGTGTTTCTTTTTAGACAAACTTTGTATTTTTGTTATTGACTACTAATTTTATTTTGTGTAGTGTTCAGATGTAGTCTCTGAAATACTGTTTAAATATTTTTGTATGTGATTATTCATTTACAAATGTTCTTTGCACACTCAAGAAGAATGTGGATTCACTAGACTTGATGACAGTATGTTTAAGTGCCCCTCATTACCAATCAAATGTATTAAGTTGTTTAAATCTCTTACAACTTTATTTGTTGTTGTTGTGTTTTGACCTATAAATAATTAAGAGGGAAATTCTAAAATCGGCCACACTGATTGTGGATTTTCAAGTATTTTTCAGTTGTTTTAACAAATTTTGCTTTATATAGTTTGTGGATATTTTATTAAGTACATAAATTGTTTTCACTTCATGTAACTTCCTAGGAAGGTGAATTACTTTCATTTTATATAGGAACCCTCTTTATTCTTAATACTGTTTGCTCTGAATTATATTTTGAATAAATACAGCTATTTAGTTAGCATCCTAAAAAAAAAAAAAAAATATATAGAAATGGCCAAGCACTGTTGGGGTATGTGCAACCAGTAGGATCCCCTGGGGTATGGTGGCCTCACTAATCAATTCTTTACAGTATACAGTGGAGCATACCATTACTGTGCCCTGCTTGCTACAGTAAGTTCTTCAGGTATTATAATGGCATGGGTTTTTAAATGTATAACTATTATAATTTTTTTTACAATTCCACTGTTTGGATGCTTTTAATGTTTAGAATCCTAGATTACACTCTTTCTCTTTATATCGTTTTGTTTCCATAAAATTATTAAAATTGGGCGCCTGGGTGGCTCAGTTGGTTAAGCGACTGCCTTTGGCTCAGGTCATGATCCTGGAGTCCCAGGATCGAGTCCCACATCGGACTCCCTGCTCAGCGAGGAGTCTGCTTCTCCCTCTGACCCTCCCCCCTCTCATGCTCCCTCTCTCTCATTCTCTCTCTCAAATAAATAAATAAAATCTTTAAAAAAAATTATTAAAATTTATTATTAACTTTTCTTCATGGTACAAAAATATTACTCTTGTTTTATAATTTCTTGCTGCTAAAAGGGATGAGAAATGCTTTAAGAGCTGGCTTCTAGGGGCGCCTGGGTGGCTCAGTCACTGAGCAACTGCCTTCGGCTCAGGTCATGATCCCAGGGTCCTGGGATGGAGCCCTGCATCGGGCTCCCTGCTCAGCGGGGAGCCTGCTTCTCCCTCTTGTGCTTGCTCTCTCTAGAGCTCTCTCTTTCTCAAATAAGTAAATAAAAGCTTTTTTTTTTTTTAAAAAAAGAGCTGGCTTCTAATTGGATAATTTCCCTGCAGCCACCTTTAGAATGGTCAGCCTGGAGGGGGTTAATGGTTGATAATGCTGTTGTACAAGAGACTTTGTGCAACTTTCTATTTGGGCAACTTCAAGTTTATCATCATTAATGGTAGTTTTCATTAGACAGGGTAAGAAATCACACACAAGTTAAACATAGAAACAAATTAAGGAAATGCATGCTCACCAATAAGCAAGTAAGAAGGGGACCCCAACATGCCCAGCTGCTGAAGCCACGGTGACAATATGGCCATGATTATTCTTCATCATCACTGGAAGAAATGCTTTTGTAGTCTAGAAATAGTGTTTATTAAGAGAAAAATATATATTGTTATTTCTGATCTGCAGACCCATTGGGAATATTTCCAAAGCTATATTTTGTTAACATTTTTCCTAGAATAAAGGGAAAAAAACCCAATTAATTGCCAAATGTGACAAATTAAGGCAACTGGATAGGATTCATAGATTGGAAAAAGTAAGCAAAGCAATGGATACTGAAAACTTTGAGAATCCGGGCGCCTGGGTGGCTCAGTTGGTTGGGCGGCTGCCTTCGGCTCAGGTCATGATCCTGGAGTCCCGGGATCAAGTCCCGCACCGGGCTCCCTGCTCGGCGGGGAGTCTGCTTCTCCCTCTGACCCTATCCCCTCTCATGTGCTCTCTCTCTCTCTCATTCTCTCTCTCAAATGAATAAAATCTTTAAAAAAAAAACTTTGAGAATCCATTTCATTTAAATTGTGAACTTCTAATATCCCCTGATCCTCCACCCCTTTTGTCATTGATGTTTTCTATCATTTTATATATTGAATAGATATAATAATCTAGAGTTATCAAAAGAATTTATATGTAATGTGAAATTGTTAGAAAATAATTTGGTTATGTCATCAAAATACTGAAATGAATAGCAATCTTCCAGTACACTGAATGATTCATGCAATAAATATTTACTGAGCACCTACTATGTAATGGGGATTCAAAAACATTAGACAATGCCCTACGTTCTAATAAAGGCAGAAAGACAGGCAAATTCATCAGTTATAATACAGATACAAAGACAGATGCCAATAACTTGGGAATACTGACATAAAATAATATTGCATTTTCACTAATTCTAATATTCTTTAGAGTTATGCATCCCAAACTCACATCCAAGAAAACTTTGAGCGACCCTTCCAGTAACTGGCTATTTGGGCAATTTTTAGCCTCTTCAGAAACTCTCTCTCTTTCTCATATATATATACACACACATAAATATATATATCTCTGTATCTGTATATATTGTATCTGTGTGTGTGTGTGTGTGTGTATATATATATATATATATATCTATCTATATCTGTATCTACAGACCTTGAATGGTGAGGTTTATGATAAAGTTGGCAACTTTGGGCCCAGAAAATACTCAAGGCCTGAGTCTCATGAGAATCCGAAAGCAAACTGGGCTCACCTTTAAAAAAACCACACAAAAGGACTCAGATGACCCCTAATTCCTTTCATCATAAACAATGTCACATAGATGAGAGAATCTAGTTTAAAATTAAAACATACATAACACCTAAAGTTTATTATTAATTAATTATTAGTATTAATATTAGTAAGGGGGAGGAAGAATGGCTGATGAGATTTGGTCAGAGCATGAAAAATGACCTCTTTTTTTTTAAGTCTATTTATTTTTTTTAATAATCTCAACCCAACGTGGGGCTCAAACTCATGACCTCAAGATCATGAGTCTCATGCTCTTCCAAATGAGCCCTGAAAAATGACCTCTTTGTATATTATCCTTAGTACCTGGAGAAAACTTCAGTATTAATTTGACACATCTTTATGTCTGCTGAAATCTCCACTTTAAGATTTTATTTATTTGTCAGAGAGAGAGAGAGCACAAGCAGGGGGAGCATCAGGCAGAGGAAGAAGTAGGCTCCCTGCTGAGCAAGGAGCCTGATGTGGGACTTGATCCCAGGACCCTGGGATCATGACCTGAGCCAAAGGCAGACACTTAACTGACTGAGTCACCCAGGTGTCCTGAAATCTCCACTTTAAACATAGTCTTTGGGTTTTACAAAAGGGAATATTTTCATAAAAGAAGTCATACCTACCCAGAAATGTGCGAGTACATTAACTTCAAAAGTCTTTTCAATCTGAGGGTCTTGTGTTGCAAACAAATCCGATGTGTAGACTACACCAGCATTATTTATTAAAATACTAACATCTCCAATTTCTTCCTTCACCTTTAAAAATAAGACAAATATCTGTATCATAAAGAGTTATGAAGGAAGGTTTGCATGCAAGGATTATTAAAGAACTATGTGTTCCTCTATTAGATGTGGGGAAAAAAGTAGTTTTGTAATCTATGTGCCAATATGGAAAAAAGAACCTTTTAATCTTAGGTACTTAATTTCAAAACAGCTCTACCTGTAAGTCTGGTTAAGTAGAAGTTTTCTTTTGCAATTTAGGCTCTTGACTTTGCTCTACTGATTTTACTCTGAGAGGCATTTGGCTAATAAAAACATAACCAGTGGCAAAAGACAAAAAAACAAAAACAAAAACAGCATTTATTTTTTAAGTACTACTTCAAAAGGTAAGCAAAAAAATTTTTTTTAATCAATTGGCAAATGCAGGAACGATCTGGGAATCTATGTAAAACTGATTATACCATTAAGCTGGTCACATCTTCTATTTCTTTATTTTTGTAGTACAAACTATTTATTTTGTTGCTCACCAACCTTCCCCCTGCAGGTGACAGTTGGCCTAAGGGCTGGCAATGCCAGAATATCTTATCTGATATTTTTACAGTTCTTTGAGTAACTAAGCTTCTTGGTGGATAGACCCTAGAGTTACAATGCATTCTGTTATACACTGTGTTCCAAATAAAAGCTAACTTCTGTTAAGAGTTATATTTAGATAGTGCTGCAGTGTGCTGGGGGACTGAGGGGGAGGTGGCAAATAGCCTCTTAAAGGCTTTCATTGTGCTATGCATTTTGTACAATTTCATTATTTATCTCATTTAATTCTCAAAATAATTCCATGAGCTGGCAACTCTTGGTATGCTCACTTTAGAGATGAGAAACATGAAACACAGAATGGCTGTTTCTTGCTCAAGGTCATGTGACTATTCAAGGTCACATGGAGCTGAGACTCACCCAGATCTTCTGACCTCAGAGCCCAAGACAAACCTCAAAGCTCAAAGAGAAAGGAAGCCAGGAGGTGGGATACCCATCAGCGACACAGTAGGACACCAGTGTGCCAACAGCTGGAGGCTTGTCAGCCAGAAATGAACTCATCAGGTTGTTTTAAAGTATGAAAGAGTCAAGCTAAGATACTGGGCCCTTGGTCAACACTATTTGGACCTATAGCCACATCTCTAGCACGATATGAAAACTGTTGTTCAGAATAATGCCCCTCAGTTATTGAGAAGAGCAGGACAGTGTGTGTGGTTGAAGTGACGAAGATGTTGTAATGCCTCCAAACTAGCATGACTTAAAATACAAATCGCTCTTCTATGCTGCCAAAGAATTTGCCCAGACACACTTGTCCCTTCCTTCATCCCTGGGCTCCCCATCATCACCTATTGTCTCTCCACACCGTGAATGTCTGCTCTGCACATTTCTCAGTAGTGAAAGCAAGCCATGAGTTTAAATGCTTAGGTGACACAAAAATGTCCTGATATTAAAGTAACCACATCAAAATAACTTCAAAATATCTGATTGTCACATGTCATTGTGCATATTCTGTTAAGCATATTGTTTATCCTTGAGCAATTTCAGGAAAAACACTAGGGTTAAAACCCATGGAATAGGTTCAAATAATGAAATTACCTTTTCCAGAACAGCCTATTCCCAGATGAGTCTAGAAGCAATCACTGTGTGCCAGGGACTGATTCAAAGAGTTTACATCATTAATTCACTTAATCCTCCTAACAGCTCTGAGGTGGGTACTGCTGTGATCCCCATTTTATAACTGGGGAAACTTAGGCACAGAGAGGTTAAGTAACTTGCAATGATAGAGCCAGTAGTAACTGGAAGAGTGTACATCTCTCTAAAGGAAAATCATCATTAATTTAAGTAAAATAGCAACTGTTAAATGCAGATGTTTCTTGTCTACAGGCCTTGCTCTTACTGTACCTGCCCCCCAGGAAAGCTATTTCCCACCACTAGTCTGGCTAATTTCTACTTAGTTGGTTTTTTGTTTTGTTTTTTTTTAAGAGAGGGAGGGAGTGGGGGAGGTGGAGTGGGGGGAGGGGCAGAGGGAGAGGGGAAGAGAGAGAATCCCAAGCAGGCTCCACACCCAGCACAGAGCCATACATGGGGGCTTGATCTCATGACCCTGAGATCATGACCGGAGCTGATATCAAGTCAGTCACCTGAGACACCCAGGTGCCCCAATTTCTACTTTTCTTTTGACTTAGCTCAGGCCTCACCAGTAATAGAGGCATTAGCTTGAAATAAAAGTTTACAATTCAAAAACAGAAGTTAAAAATGTCCTCAAATCTAAAATTCCCTAAACAAGGAGGTTCTCAAGGCTGGTTGAATCATAATCTTTATACTGTACTGGATCAGATTATCCAGGGGTAAGGTCCAGGAATGGGTGTTTTAAGGAATTTGCTCAGATAATTCTACTGACTTTCTTACTATTGTAGCATTTAGTTAAGTATATGTATAAATGCGTTTGGAGTGAAGCTCCATTATATACACATGGCATATTTCAGTTGTATATAGAAGAGGCAAATACTGCTTTATAGAGATAAATCTATGATCAAAGCCTGATAAACAGTTAAATTTATCCTAACTCCCTAACCCAGTTCTTTGACTGGGCATCTGAAGACCCCGTCAGTGATTTGCAGTGTCATCCAAGAATTTACTTGTAGCAGAATCACATGGGTGAGGCGTGGGTGGGTATGTAGGGTACTAAACGGGCAGATTCCTGGGCCTAGCCCCCGATCCACTGAAAGCAAACCTCGGGCGTGTCATTTTTTAACAAGCTCTCTGGAAGATTCTAGAACACACTGAAGTCTGAGAAACTCAGTTCTAGGTTCTAGTTCTGGGTCTGCCACTAGTTGGCTGCACAACCTTAGGCAAATCACAAAACTTCTGCTACTTTGTCTGCATCGTGACGGTGTCATCTCCAGAATCCCTCCAAGCTCTGACATGACCCGATCCTAACCAAATGCAAAATTTCACCTTCTTTGCAGAGTTGTAAATATCTTCTCGGTTACTGCAGTCTACCACAAAGGCATAAGCCTTCGCACCCAGTCTCCTGCATTCAGCAACTGTGTCCTCAATTCCGTGCTAGGGAAGGCAACAAAAAGTTTGAAAAGAGAATGAAATAAATGACATGAACATATTATATCAACAGCTGAAAATAATTAAGGATAGTCAGATTGTTTGAACTAGCATTAGGCGGGAATTTAACTGGACACATTTTTGGCAGGGATATAGGTACACTTTGCTCTTAGTACTTTGACAAGATTCTTTTATTTGGAACCAAACTTAAAGCAAGCTTTTTTAAAGAACATAAAAATCTTAAAATACTAGTTTTGTATTCATGAATTTTACATACTTTGTGAATGTGTGTGTGTATTCCATATCAAGATTTAAAAAAATAATATTTAGCTTTTTCTTTGTCACTAAAAACTATCCACATACATCAATTTTCTAGCTAAATAAATAAATAAATAAATAAGGGGCTAATTACATTCATTCATTCACTCATTCTTTTAACATTTTAATGTGTGGGTCAGTCACGGTGCTTAGAAGAACCTTACAGATAGAAATATGAATGAGACGGAGTACTGACCTTAGCAAGCTCACAGTCTAGTAGAAAGAAACAAAAAGTATAAGATTTAGGTAGGACATATGGAATTGTTATTGTGTCGGAATAAAGGATTGAATATTGGCAGTTTCACATGGTTCAAACTAACACACTATGGTAAGTATAATAACAGAAAAATATACAGAAAGTTATGGGAACACAGAGGAGGGGCATGAAATAGAGTTCTAGAGGAAAAGGTGCCGGGGCGCCTGGGTGGCTCAGTTGTTAAGTGTCTGCCTTTGGCTCAGAATCCCTGGGATCGAGCTCCGCGTCAGGCTCCCTGCTCGGCGTTCTCCCTCTTCTGCTCCCCCTGCTTGTGTTCCCTCTCTTGCTGTGTCTCTGTCAAATAAATAAATAAAATCTTAAAAAAAAAAGAAAAAAAGAAACGATACCAGAGTAGGGTCTTAGGGTGAGTGGAACAGACAGGTAAAGAGAGGCGAAAGGGCAGGCAGGCAGAGTGCAAACAAGGGATGGATAGGAGAAAGGTCAGTGGGAAAATATTAGCAGATTGGCATTGCTGGGTCATAAAGCTCAAGGCCAGTAAGAGTCCAGATTAAAGGGCATTGTGTGTCATACTAAGTGTACTGATTAAATGACAGAATCAGATATGTGAATTATACTGATTACTCTTGCTAAAGTATGGAGAACAGATTTTAGGGGTCAATACTGCAGGAAGAGAGAAACATTAGTAGGCAGTTGACAATGACTCAGCCAACAGATAATACAAGCTTGAACTGTGGCACGACTATAAAGAATGTAGAGAAGAGAATGAGCCTTTGCCTTTAGGAGGCAAAATCAGCAGGACTTGGGGACAACATGAGGAAGGTGGGAAGAACCGAAGCGACGTCCTTCCTTTTTTAGTTTAAGGAACTGGCAACACGGTGTTGCAACAAGTCAGATGAAGTCACAAGGAGAGTGGATTTGAGAAAAGGAATGATGAGCCCAGTCTGGAGTGTTGATTTTGTCACCTTAAATTCATGATCAGACCATAGGGTTCTGTTTTTGTTTTTCTTTTTTTTGTTTCCATTTTTGCTTGTTGGTTTGCCTTTACCGATTTTGTAGCTTTTTCATTGTAAAGAATGTCTCAAACCATACCTTGAATCGAGGGTTAGTCTGTGAACTCTGCAAGCCAAGAAATTATTGTCAGCTAATGCACAAGTGGGTGGACTTACTACATTTACCCACAGAGAGAATGGTAGAGCAGAACACTAGTGTGTGAATCTGCTGGTAAACTGTAATTCCTCTTGCAGAAAACCCAAATCTGGACAGCTATGGAAAGAATTCGCAGTTCGCCCAGTGAACTTACTGTGACAGTAAAAGGACATAGGGTGTTTTCCCTTCTGCTGAAATCTCTCACACAAACTGTCGTTTGTCCTCTGATGAGGAGCCCTTATTCCCCAAGGGACATCAAAATGTCTCAAGTAAACCTATGTTGCCCTCCTGTACCTAACAGGCAGCTTTGGGCCCCTTCCTTTAAAAGTATATTTCATTAATGTAGTATATACATACGATGGAATATTATTCAGCCTTCAAAAGGAATAAAATTCTGACACATTCTACAGCATGGATGAACCTTGATATCAAGCTTAGTGAAACAAGTCAGATACAAAAGGACAAATATTGCATAATTCTAGTTATATGAGATACCTAGCATAGTCAATTACACGGAGACAGAAAGCAGAATGGTGGTTGCCTGGGGCTGGGGAGGGGGGGTGGGGACTAATTGTTTAATGGGTACAAAGTTCCATTTGGGGATGATGAAAAAGTTCTGGAGATGGAGAGTAGAGGTCATTTTGTAACAATGTGAATGTACTCAACACAACTAAACTGAACGCTTAAAAATGGTTAAAATGGAAATTTTTATGTAATACATATTTTACCACAATAAAGAAAGTTTTAAAAAGTATATGGTACTGATTCTTTGGGTATGCACAAAATTCAGTCCTTATTTGGAAAAAATTCTACAATAAAACCCCATTTGCCCTTTATTCCATTTGTGGAGATTTGCTTAGTAATGGTTGGCTTTCTCTGTCAATGCACAGAGTGTGAAGCGACAAACATGCCCTTCCTTTATGTCTGCAATCATGCTTTGCCTATTTCCCTGGTCTTCCCCACTTAGGGCCAAGGTCTGCACTCCACACCTCCTGAACTATGCAACAAATTTAAGTTCAAAATTCTGCCAGGAAAAATCTTAGACAGTCTCTATATTCATTTGGTAAGAAATAAAAAATAAACAGACCTTTAAAATTTTTCTCAGCACAGTGGAACTGCTCATCATTCTTCAACATTTCCCTTGTTAACCTTTTTCCTAATGTGCTGGGTTCAGTTCTCAATTTTTATTTTTTATTATTTTTATTTGTTTTTTAAGATTTTATTTACTTATTTGAGAGAGAGTGTGCACACGCACGTGCGCAAGAGCATGAGCAGGAGAGAGGGGAAAAGGGAGAGGGAGAAGCAGACTCCCGCTGAGCCAGGAGCCTGATGCGGGGCTCGATCCCAGGATGATGGTACCATGACCCAAGCGGAAGGCAGACACCCAACTGACTGAGCCACCCAGGCGCCCCTCAGTTCTCAATTTTTAATCCTGGGCTCTCCTTTAAGACTTTACTTATCATTCTTTGCCTCTATCCCCACAACCAAAGCTTTTTGCCCATTACCTACACTACTAAACATCTACATGTTTTCCTGATTCTTTCCATTGTTTTTTTCCATTCATTAATTCACTTTAACATTTGATAAACAGTCTTTAAGTATATATTAGGTCCTCACTACTTGCTATAAATTTATCTTCACAGGGACGCCTGGGTGGCTCAATTGGTTAAGCAGCTGCCTTGGGCTCAGGTCATGATCCCAGGCTCCTGGGATCCAGTCCTGCGTCGGGCTCCTTGCTCAGCGGGGAGCCTGCTTCTCCCTCTGCCTCTGCTTCTGCCTGCCCCTGCTGTGCTCGCTCTCTCTCTGACAAATAAATAAAATGTTTAAAAAATAAAAATTAAAAAATAAATTTATCTTCACAAACTTATCTAATGGGGCATGGGGGTGACACTGGTTAAGAAATGTGATTATCTACATAAAACAATAAAAAATTCATGGCATCTGTCTCAGTAGAATAAGAAAGCTGAAGCCACCACTAATCCCTCCCTAAATTCATGCTCCTTTTCTGTGGACTTCATGATGAGTAGGAAGATGTCTGTCCACAATATCCTGAGAAGGATATCTTTGGACATTGCTATCCTTGCTGCTTGACTTAATCTGAGAAATTTGTCTTTGGGGACAATTTGTCTTTGAACCCTGGGGGGAAAGAATTTGATCTGGCCCCTCCCTGCCCTTCCAGCTTGGTCTGAAAACAATCTGAAACTCTCCTCTTCTTCTCTCATTCTCATTCTCTGTATAGCCACCAGCCCAAAAGTTTTACATCTCTAGGTTCTGCTGCCTGGACTCCTTGAAATTTCCACCCTACCCTCCCTCCCCAGTCAGGTTTAGTGGTTCTTAGACTTTCATAATTTTAAAACCTGTAAAATTTCAAGAAAAGTGGACTGCAGTGTATATACTTAACTAGGACTGCCAATCTTTTATTTGGCCATATAAGGACATTAAAACCAACACAGAAACTATCAGTTACTATCATTGTCATTTCATTAAATATATATGTATATTTCACCCACAAAAAAAGTGGGAAAGATATCACCTTAAAACAACAGATGGTTTACTTAAATTTAATGAATTTAACATAATAAATACTACATTGTCTTTAATTTTCTGACCACTTCCGCTACTACCTCCCTGGTCTGCAAAACCAGCATCATCTCTTGCCTGGATTACCACTAGTCCGCTAACTGCTCTCCCTGCAACCCAACAGCCTAGAATCTGGCTTAAAACCCTCCACTGGCTCTCCCAGGAAAAGCCGAAGCACAAACAATAGCTTAGGGGAACCTTGATGATCTGGAGCTGCTGCTACTTGAGTTTCTAGACCAGCGCTGTCTCATAAAATATAATGCAAGCCACGTACTTAATTTTAATTTTTCTAGTAGTCACGTTTGAAAAAATAAAATTTAATTTAGCAGTATATTTTATTCAACTTAATATATCCAAAATATTATTTTAGGATATTTGTTATTATGAAATACTGTATTTCAATATGTAGTCTATATAAAAGTTGTTAGTAAGATATTCAACATTCCTCTTTTCATACTGTCTTTGAAATCCTGTGTGTAATTACACCGGCAGCACATCTCAAATCAGATGAGCCACATTTCAAATGCTCAACAACCGTTGTGTTGGAAAGCACAGATCTAGACTTTTCTTTTACTTCTCTCCCTTCCCTCACTCTGTGCCATGCTTTGCCTTTGCTGATCCCTCTCTGCAAAGATATGGGAGGGGCTGACTGTACCCTCCGCCTCTTCTGATCTTGACTCAACTATCTCCATCTCAGGAGGCTTTCTGTGTAAGAGCAACACGTTTATCCCGGCCCTTCTCACCATACAGAGTCTCTATCCCCTTTCATATTTTACTTTTCTTTATACTTATCACTTTCTAGCAATTACAGAATTTATTAGACAGCATATCTTGTTTACTGTCCCTTGTTCATGAACTTTGTGCTCTTACTACTGTGTCCTCAGTTCTGCATTACAACAGTGCCTGGCAGATAGGAGGCACTCAATAACTATTTGCTGGATAAATACACTCCACTCCGAATCAGAGAAAATTTTGTACGAATGAGCATAGGCATTGGGAGCCATTAACACAGATGTGTAACCTAATTCTTAGCCCTAAATCCTCTAATGTTGGCTTAAACTCACTTTGTGAATGGATAATAACTAATGTGTGTTTACCGTATGCCAGACTCTGCTAAATGCTTTGTGGGCACTATTTGGTATAATCCTCCCAGTCCTTTAAGGTAAGTACAGTTATTTTATCCATTTTGCAGAAAAGGATTCTAAAGCTCTAGGAAGTTAGGAGGTAGCTCATGAAGAGGTGGAGAGCTCCACTGAGTTTGACTCTACCGCCATGTCTGACATCAGATTAGACTGGGACTAGTTTGTATCTTTCATTGCATGTATAATTATTTAAAGTCTATTTTCCCTACAAGATTATTCGCCTATTCACCACTGTGTTCTTACTATCCATCTAACAGATACTCAATAAGTACTTGTTGATTGCTATCTCAACCATCCACTCACTGGAGAACTATTATCTAACTTCACATTCCCTGAATTTTTGTTTACAGCTACAGCGCTGGATGTTTACTAATGTGTAAGGGATGGCTTTGTAGGCCCTCAGGTGCCTTGCAGAAAACTCTCTGTCCATCTACCACTGGCCATATAAAAGGTTAGATTCTAAGTCCTCCTCTCTTCCTTTAAGCCTACACCTATTCTTGTAAAACATTATGTATATTGAAGAGTTTTTCCTTTTATTTTTATTTAAATTTTTTTGTTTAATTTTGCTTTTTTAAGTAAACTCGATGCCCGACATGGGGCTTGAACTCAACAACCCCGAGATCAGGAGTCGCATGCTCTACTGACTGAGCCAGCCGGGTACCCCAAAGAGTTTTTTCTTTTATATTGTTTTTAACTAAAAGATGATTTTAAAAATTATTTTTGGCAATTGCTATGATACAGTAATATTGCTTTCTGTTGGGTATCTTTTAAACCCACTTATCTCAGTAATGGCAAGTAGGATTTTTTTCTTAATAGGTGCAAACCTCTTAATAGACTAGCTTAAAAACCATTATTCTTTCCACTTGTTTAAGATAGAGGGATCAGTGAAATCAGGCTCTGGAGGAGACCACAGATTCTTTTCTGGGCAAAAGGATACATTTACAATGCAAAATTAGTGATGGGTAGTAACTGGGAATCTTACATCCTCCAGATCCATTTATCCTGTAATCATAAACATTAATGGATCTATAAAATGCCAGTAGTAATTTTTTTTTCTCCCTACTTTATAGAGATGCTGTTCAGGGTTGTTGCCTGCAGAATGCATCCGTGACTACGATTAAAGGTGACAGAAAGTAAAACATAGGAAGCACGATTACCTTATTTATATCCCACAGAACCAGTTTGCTTTTAAGTTTGGCAAATTCATAGGCAGTTAGTCTCCCAATTCCGTGTCCAGCTCCAGTAATCAGTACGATTTCTCCAGTAACTGATTTTCTCTTCTTAGGAATAAAAAGCTTCAGGAGAGACTCTAGGGTGAAGATGATCAGCAAGGGCAGAAGCTGGAGGCAATGCAGAAAGAATTTCATCCTGGTCGTTGCCGTGAGCTTTTGGTGTACTGCCTTTCACCAATCACTCTAAATTGCTTCTGGAGGGCGATTCCGTCAAACACCGGAGAGAGTAAAAGCAAAAGCAAGGAAGGGCTCCGAAACCGTTCCTTCCGCTGGGCTGGGCTTGGTTAGGTCTTTCACAATTGGTTCGGGCTGCAGTGCGGAGCGGCTGCTCGCCAGCTCAGAAATCTGGGAGGGACAAAGTCCAGAGGAGGGCAAGGCTTCCGAGTCCGCTCGTCTTTGACGCACTGCCTCCGGGTCTTGCGAGCCGACCTTGGTGGCTTAGCTGCCGCTTGTTTTCCGAAATGTGGTCATTCCTCTCCAAGTTACAAAGATCACTGACAGTGTCCGCAGTCCAGATGCTTCTTTGAAACTTGATGCTCACCACCAGTGAAGGGATGCAGATGTAGTTTCCTATCTTAAAAGGGCCGTGGGGAGAAGATCAATTGTTCCGCAAGCGCCCCCCCCCCCATCCCGAGAAATTATGCTATCTCACATTCTGGTTTGAACGAAACGCGAGGGCAGAGAAAATGTTGAACTTTCAAGGGCAGCGATAATCAAGGCCCAGGAAAAATCGTATCATATCATAAGGGATTGTATCCACAAGGAAGAGCAGTGTATTTGGATAATCTTTTTCGCTCAACCTGTTGGAACTTGTGAAAAAAACATATTACACTTAAGTAATCGTATCTTTCTCCAGGTTAATAAATCACGGCTTCCAGAATGAATCATAAAACATAAAGAAAATCACCTTGCATAAAGATTACCTATGTAATTTTTGGTTTAGTAGCTTATTATAAGTATTGGTTACTGAAAAGAAAAAGACCCAATTCTGGGTTTGTGTGCGGGAAGAGCTTAATCATTGTTTGTTACATTTTTTTTTTTCCAATTCAGTTCTTGATAGTAATTGAAATGGGGCTTTTTGTGAGACACTACAGTACTTGGAAAGAGACTTCTGTCAGTGGGTGACTGATGGTCACTTTATATTTAAGAGGCAGGAAGATCACAAAAAATTGGAAGTTCACAAAGAATTCATACATCTCTCTATCATCTGCAACTTTTTCTTATGGCTCTCAAATCCAAGTTTACAATAGTACAAATACTTGCATAGAAAGTTTCCTGACTGATGAATCACAGACCTGTACCCTTGAAACAAATAATATATGTTAATAAACAAAGAAAATTTAGCTATTAAAACATTAAAAAAAAAAGAAATTTCCCAGTTTCCAGAGGTTTTTCCACATATATTATCTCATTAGATTTTTAAACAAGCTTCTTAGGAAGTAGAGAAGAAAACTATTTCCCTATTTTATAAATGAATAGATCAGTTAGATTAACTTTTTAAAGCTCCCACAGCAAGTAAATACATAACTGTCAAACTTTTTTGCCCAATACCTATAGGAAGAAAGCACATCTTACAGGTGTATGCTTTCAAGATTTTTTTTTTTATTCATGAGAGGCAGAGAGAGAGAGAGAGAGAGAGGCAGAGGGAGAAGCAGGCTCCCAAGGAGCAGGGAGCCGATGCGGGACTCAATCCCAGGACCTGAGCCGAAGGCAGACGCTTAACCATCTGAGCCACCCAGGCGCCCGTGTATGTTTTCATATATGTTGACTTTCATATATGTAGGCTTTGTCTCTAATATTTTCTATTAAGAAAATCGGAGAGCATGAGACTCGTGAGTTCAAGCCCCATGTTGGGTGTAGCAATCACTTAAAAAAATAAAATCTTAAAAAAAAAAAAAAGAAAAAAAATTGTATGTAAAGAGAACTAGGCAGTTTTGATCCAGTAAGTTGGCTAGAGTTCCCCTGGTCTAGGAAAAGAACAGTGTTTGAAAACAGTCACACCTGAATCCTATATGTGTATGTGACTTCACCTCCCTGAGAATGTTTCCTAATTTGTAAAACTGGGATGTTATTAATACATACCCTACAGGATTCTTGTGAATCCTGAGCTGAAGGCAGACGCTCAATGACTGAACCACGCAGGCGCCTCATTGGGACAGTTTAAAATGTTTTCTGTGGGTGCCTGGGTGGCTCAGTCATTAGGCCTTCGGCTCAGGTCATGATCCCAGGGTCCTGGGATTGAGCCCCGCATCGGGCTCTCTGCTCGGCAGGGAGTCTGCTTCTCTCCCACTCCCCCTGCTTGTGTTCCCTTTCTCGCTGTGCTTCTCTCTGTCAAATAAATAAAAAAAATCTTTAAAAAAACTAAATAAAATGTTTTCTATGTGGAGAACCTTAATTTCATGCTGCCCTGCCAGCTGTTGAAGTAGCATTAAAAAAGGGGGGGGGAACAATAGGTAAGGATAAGGAGCCCTTCAATAATGATTTGAGCACTTACTATGACTAGGCATTATGCTGAGTGCCTCACATATAAACACAGTATATTTTACCCTCTCAATAGTCTTAAGAAGTAGGTTCAATGAGATGTCTATTACATGAATAAAGAAATAAAAGATTAAGAGAAATAAGCAAATCACCTGAGGTCATAGTATAAATGGTAGAGTTGAATTTAGATCTAGGCCATTATCACTACTCTATGTTGCCTTTTTTCTTAGGGCAAAGAAGAAAAGCTAAGCCACTCCTAAATCACTTTGAAAAATTCAAAAGGATAAAAACTATTACTCATAATACCTCCCGTTATTCATAATTCCTATAGCATTCATAACACCTCCCCCTCATAGCATTAGGTGACTTAATCCCTAATTAACACGTCATAGAGTGCAGCTATTAAAAGAAAGATTTTGTTTGTTGTTGTTTTTTAGAGAGAGAGGGTGTGAGCACATGAGTGTGTGTGTGTGTGGTGTGTATTGTGGTGGGTGAGGGAGAGAGAAAATCCCAAGTGCCGAGCCTGACATGGGGCTCAATCTCAGGACCCTGAGATCATGAACTGAGCTGAAATAGTCGGACGCTCAACAGACTGAGCCACACAGGCACCGCTAAAACTAGGATTTTGAATTCCTGCCAACTTTTTATCAGCTATGTGATATCTGGTTAATTGTTTACCCTTTCCCGAGGTCTCAGTTACTTCATCTGTAAAATGGGTATAATAGCAGCTTGGTTGAGTAAATGAGATATTTAAAAAGCAGAGCTGACATCTTACATACAAATATACTTAATGAATGATAGCTACTACTGTATTTTAACCAGTCATCAGTAAGAGGTTTATGTTTGCAAGGCTGGCTCTGTAGAGTCCTGGTGGATTCAGAAGGAAAGGCCACCATACTTTGCAATTACATAGGCCAATGAAAAACAGTCTCTTTTCTTTTCCCTATTACTTTAAAGAACACTGAGGAAGAACATTCAGAAATGATTGCCAGACTGTGCTAAAGGAGGTACTTCCAATAGTTTTTCAGTCATTCTGGGTTAGAAGACTTCATACTTGGCTCTGATGTCTGAATTTTAGTGCTGGAGGGAGTTAAATGTTAGCTTGTCCAACCGCATTTTTTTTAAAGTAATGAATCTATGCATTCAAAGTAATGAATATATCTGGTTTAAAAATGGTTCAACAAGGGGTGCCTGGATGGCTCAGTCGGTTAAACATCTGTCTTCAGCTCAGGTCATGATCCCAGGGTTCTGGGATCGAGTCCCACATCGGGCTCCCTGCTCAGCGGGGAGTCTTTTTCTCCCTCTGCCCCTCTCCCCTCTCATTCTCTCAATCTCTCTCTCCCTCTTTCAAATAAATAAATAAAATATTTTTAAAAAAATGGTTCAGCAGGGCAGATAATAAAAACCAACAGTCCTCAGTCCCATTGTCTAACTCTTCAGATTAACCACTTTTAATCCTTTTAGTTGTCTCTTGTAACAGTTGACTTCTATGCCTCTAATAAAGGTTTACAGTGTCATTTCTTAGCTAATCAATAGTAGACAGTACTGATTTTCTTCTATGACAGCTGAGGATGTAGTTCACTTATTCCACTCCTAACACCCTTCTCCCTATATATTCCCAGTACAATTATGTCACTATCCTTACTACTTTTGTTTGGTTATATTTAAAATTTTTTATTTTTTTTTTAAAGATTTTATTTATTTAGGGCGCCTGGGTGGCTCAGTTGGTTAAGCGACTGCCTTCGGCTCAGGTCATGATCCTGGAGTCCCGGGATTGAGTCCCGCATCGGGCTCCCTGCTCAGGGGGGAGTCTGCTTCTCCCTCTGACCCTCTTCCCTCTCGTGCTCTCTATCTCTCATTCTCTCTTTCAAATAAATAAATAAAATCTTTAAAAAAAAAGATTTTATTTGACAGAAAGAGAGAGAGAGAGCGCGCGGCACAAGCAGGGGGAGCAGGAGAGGGAGAAGCAGGCTCCCCGCCGAGCAGGTAGCCCGACCCCAGGACCCTGGGATCATGACCTGAGCCAAAGGCAGATCCTTAACTGACTAAGCTACCCAGGCATCCCTGTTTGTTTATATTTAAAACTTTTACACTTTTTATGTCTTATTCCTGCCACTGTATGATGAAACTTTTGGCTTCCCATTTTGTAAGAGGAGGGTAAGCCCTATTGTTTTCCTCAGTTGTCCCTTTCTACCTCCCAACTTGTAGTATCTGGTTTACTTTCATATTCTCAGGACTGATCATATTTACTTTATATTTTGTAACTGTAACATTTTCTGTGCTTGGTCTATGTTGACTCTGAAAGCTAAAAATCAACAGAGAGCATTTACATTCTTATAACTAAATAGTGGCCTTCCTCAGCAGGAGGCTGCTATTAGACTAACTGGGACGGACTGGACCAGAAGAAATCACAGTCATCTCAAAACTATTCATCCTTGGCCTTTATGAAGACTGAGGCAGCATAATGTCAAAGCAAAAACTCTGAAGTTAGGTTGGAATTCCAGCTGTCACTCTCTAGTTGTGTGATTTTCAACAAGTCATTTAAATTCTTTGTTTAAATTTCCTTCAGCATGCATTAACTTATTAAGAGACAGGACTGGTGGCTGATTGAAAGAACACAAAAGATACAAAGAAAATCCTTGCCATCAGGGAAGAGAAAGAGGAAAGCAGGCTACTGTTGACGCAGGGGATTATGGAAAAGGAGAGAGGACAGCAATAGAGGCAAGTATTAAGAGTCTAGTAACTGGACTTGTCATTCCAATCCTT